TTTTTGTTTCGCTTTTTTTTTTTTTTTAACTTTTTCAATTGTTATGTTACATTGTTGCTGCTGCGGTTGTTGTCGATGCTGTTGCTTCAGTGTATAACGGGTGTTGGTGTTATATATTAAAAGGAGTGTTTTTGTTGTAGTGGTACCATTACTCTTGTGGTTAAGCGGTGCTTTCGGTGGTGGTGTTTTGGACCGGCTGACTTTCCTGCAAATCAAACGAATAACATTTAATAATTAGTTTAATTCTAATCAGATAGAAGAAAACCGGGCCAATTTACAATGATAAAACGTGAGTAACCTTACACTGAAAAAAGTACAAATATAAGAACGCGAATGAAAAGCAACGAATCACACAACACAAGAAAACATAGCAGATAAGGATTGGTGCTATTGTGATACCAAGAGAGACTAACCCCAAGGTGTTAAAGAGAAGAAAGAAAGAAAAGAGCCAAAACTGAGAACAGTTAAAAAGGTGAAAAAGGAAAAATACAGGATAATATACGATTGAAAGAACATGGAGGAAGGAAGAGAGAAAAATAAAGCCATGTTACCTGTGGAGCAGGGACATCGACAAGTGCATCCTTATCTTTAGGTGCATCCGACTTCTGCTCCGACTGAAAAGAGTACAAAAAGATACGTGCAATAGTGTGTGCTAAGCGCTACGATAAAGATTCGTCAACGGACCGAACAATCGCATCATACAACAGAAACTAACTGAAAAAAAAAATACATATACATATACAGAATGTCTCGGAAATCATGGTACGTATGACAAAATAATAATTCTACATGCAAAAATAAATCGAAAAAAAAATTTTTCGAATTATCTGTAAGTAAATCATGTTTAAAAATTTTTCAAATAAAAATGAAATTGATTAATTTCTTATTGAATATTCTATTGAAATGAACTATTAATAGATTATTCTACATATATATAGAAATAATACATAGAAATAAACAAAAGATATAAAAAAAATTTTATCACTTATATTTATTCATTACATTTATATTTATCTTATTTTTGAGAAACGAGATTGAATATTTATAATCAAGAAACCTAATTGACGAATTTTCAAATCCAATTTTCTCAAAAATTAATTTTTAAAGAAAAAAAAATATATTCTATATTTTTTACTTATTTTTATATGAAAAATTATCTTCTATCGATAATTCATTCTTATTTAATCGGAAAATAACTAGTTTCATTTGCACTTGAAAATTTTTTAAATTTGATTTACTAAATTAATTTAGAAACAAAATCTTACTCGGAAAAAAACAGATTATTTTTTTTTTATTTATTTATTTTTGCATATAGAATCATCATCCAATCACTTTTTGTACTATGCTTCGAAGATATTTTATATATATGTATGTGTTATTATATTAGTAGAATATATCTTTTACAGAATCGATATCTTTACAAAAACCAAAACAAATATAAAAGTTGATATACAAAATATCAGTTAAGGCTTATTTAATTATAAGCAATTAAAGTTTACTTATAAGTTATTAGATGAAACAAGACGAGAACAAAATGCGATCTCATTTTTTCTGTCTCACTTCAAATTGCTTAAATTGTTTATAACCTAATAAGTAAACTTCATTTATCAATATTTTTATATACAAACTTTTATATTTATTTTGGTTTCTAGAATCGATCCAATAAAGATATTTCATAAATATATATATATTACTCTGAATATTTTTTATTAGTACATATGTACATAAATAACTAGATAAAGAGAAGCAGACATAAAGGAGAGAAAGAGAAAGAAAAAACAGAAAAAGATGCAAAGAAAGAAACAAATTACAAACAACTAAATTAAGACATTATATAAATAAAATACGATAGAATAAAACACAGGAGCAGAAGAAGTACGTAGTATGTGCGATCCGTTGATGATGATGGGCGTATTTACAAGTGTATCGTACAAAGAAAATAAAAGGTTTGAAAAACAGACAATGCATAAATCTCGGACTCTAATTTTCTAATCCAAACAATCATTCTTATTTGTATCGCTCTTTATAATTAATTAAAAATAACAATTATTCGATTTCAATTTGATAAATGCAATACAGCAGTAAAATAATTCTTCATAAATTTAGAAAGAGCGATAGTGCATTGAACGGTTAATAAAGTATCAACATGACTCTACATCTACCACGAATTTATTGTATCTAGCAGGAAAATCAAAAGGTTTTTTTATTAAATTATGAACGATAATGTAGACTACGATTACGAAAACTACCATGCAGGATTATCGAAATTACTAGGTTAGGTGAAACGATAGCCAGAATTTATTATGATCGGAAAGATGTTAATGTCGCGACTCTTAAATAATCCCTTTCATTAATCGACGTC